TATTCGGCAGTTATTTTTAGAACAATTTTGACAGACAGACATATGGTAGTGTTTTGGATGCAATAACTGACATCCGAGAATCGTTATTCATCGGGTAAATCGCGAGATCAAATATGTGACATTGACATTACGACATAATTGTTCAAATTGTGTATGTGTGAATATAATTTTTCAATATCAAATAAAAGAGGCGCAAAATGCATGTGTGAATATGAAAATTTATATGAATTTAATTCGTTATATTATTTATATTTTATTATTTGCATCTATTGGAAGACAAAGAATAAAAATATATTGCAATTTATCTTATTAATATTTCCTTTAAAGTGGGAAAGAATTAATTAAAAGAATTCCGTATACAAAAAGAATTCTATACGAAAAGAACGATTTTGCTGAAAGATCTAAAATTTTGGATACGGATCTGAAAATAATTTTGTTAAATCATTAAAATAATTACATTAGAAATTGAAAAATGTTGAGCAGTGCTGAAAAAAATTTTAATATTCTAGCAACCAGTATGTATTTCCAATAAAATTATTTTCAGTATCCAGCAAAATTTTATATCTTTCAACAAAATCATTTTCAATGTGAAATAAAAAATATCCGTTTACATTATAATCATGAATCAATTTACAAATTCAAGATATACTTGTAGAACAATTTGTTTTAATTCCCTTTAATTCATTAATTCTCAGAATGGAAGAAGAGAGATGTCGCGAGTAATTTCTCGATTCTTTACGAACTACGTTTCGCGGAAACGATCGTTGCACATCCGAAGACATTCCTGCGCGCATTCATTCATCGACTCTCGCATTGACGCCGCAATTACTCGTTGAATGGAAACGATTGCGGCCGTGGACGTGTCGCGTGCATCGAAACGAACTTTTGATACACCTTGATGCATTCTACTTCTCAGCTGCTGCTGCGATTTGATTGCGAATGTACGTAACGACCGCAACGTGTTCGAGGAGGTTATTTTTAGACCGGTCCAAGACTATTTTTAGAAGCGGTCTGCCCACCGGCAGCTTAACCCTGACTTACGTCCCTATGTCTTCGTGGACATCGCAGGGACACCGTGAAGATCGGTGGACCATTAAGCGCATCAATCGAAAGACATGCGGTCGCCAGAAAATGAGCAATGCACAAAACACGCGACATACTTTCCGACCACATTTATATTTTTGACATTCAATTCCTCGTTACTAAAACATGCTGCTCGTTTATCATGACTGTTATAAATTATGATACATAATGATTATTATTCATTAATGATAACAGCGAAAGATAAAACTAATTTTTTATTATTCACGGACATTTTAACGACATAAAATTGTACTTTGTTAAATCATATTATATTGTCTTACTTCAATTAAACATTCATCAAATAAAAAGCAATGATGTTTGGAAAATGCATGTATAGTATACGTACTTATAGAGAATATCATGATCGTAAAGATCTTAACCGTGAAGATCGTTTCAAAGTTGTGTGCTTTAGATTATCGGAGTTTATCGAAATCGAAGACGAGGCTGAACAGTAAAACTAGGTATTACGATCACACAGGGCGATGACGCAAGCTTTCGAGCTTCTATTTGTGGCAACTACAGATCAAACTATTCTCTCAAGCTCATGTTCTGATTTCGCACTGATGTAAAGTTCTGCATATGTATGTCGAAAAGAGTGAAAATCTTGAGATTAAATAGCGAATTTTAAGATAAAGAGAATCTAATCTTAAAGAGATCTCAGAGAAATCTTAATTTTAATAAGAAAGATTAATGAAAATCCGAGAAAGTAATAGATGAAATTTTTAACTATAGCATGTATAGAGGCCTATATATTTTCGAAAGTGGTATTTTTATGACTGTAGACCTTTCCATTAGACCGTTTCTGTAGCGCGCTCCTTATAGAAATAAAAAACTTCCGCATTTTTTTTTTTAAACCAATGAAAAAGTAACAGCTGAAACTCTGTTTAAAAATGATTGTAGAGCAAAGTAAAATTTTGCTAGAACTAATGAGAAATGTTGAAATTGCAATAAATTATTATAACACTACACTTTTTTCAAATGCGTGGTATCTACATTTAAAGTCTATTAAAATTGATAATTGTTGGAATTTTTGTTTGTTTTCAAATTACACACACACACACACACACACACACACACACACATTCATATATATAATTGATTTCGATCTAGATCTTTAAAAAAAACATTGCAAATTTATTGGAAGCATAATGCCTTCGATAAATCATGCAAGGATATTTTTATAATTCTTCTTATCTATCTATTCATTAAACTGTTTACTAAAATAATGACTTTGGAAATACTAATACATATTTGCAAATAAACAGTAATAAAAATTCGCTGTCATAATTTTCTTCGTTCGTCATCATATTATGATTTATAGAATGCAAAATATATATCGTGTTATATGTATTTCCAACTGCCTACGAAGTGACCCACTTTTCGAGAAAGAGGTGAACGAAATAAACTCTATTTCATTGGAATATTTTACGGGAAGACGATTGCTCCAGTCGTGCGACTAATAAAAATAACGACGATATATTACGATACATATATTTATAGAAAGAAAAAGAGCTGGAGGCCATCTTCGTACGATTGCTTATAATTAGGTCGAAGTCTATTAATTATTTCCGATATTCTGCCAGAATATCGAAGAATTATGACCGATTCAATAACGAACTTCACATGTATCTTCCCTCATTACTCAATTATCGTATTGTTTGCAATGATTTGCAAATAATATATTTTTATTCGGTGATTAACTGTCTAAATTAATTTATTGTTTTGAACGTGATCTTACAAAATCAATAAGTGATTTGTAAAAATACGAAAAAATATTACGATGTAGTTTAATTTAGTAAGATAATTAAAAAAAATTATCGATTGTCATTTCAAGTTATTTTGTTAAAATATATATTCAATATTTTATTCAAAATTTAATATTTGTTTATTTTCAACTTTCTATATAAAATATCAAAATTATATCACTTACAAAGCATTCGATGAACTAATTAAATAAAGTCAATATTAGGTGAGGCTTTTCATATTTTTATAGTTTTGTATCAATAATATTCAATAAGCTCACATAAATTCTTCACTAGTTTTTTACTCGTGATTATGTTAGTCGATGCACAGGAAAATCTTTGTTAATATTGCCCTCATCATCGTCGAGCCGAGTTCATAATTAGCACGCTCGATAAAAACGCCGACGAAAGATCGTTCACAAAAAGGACCGCTTGATTTTTTTAATTTGGGCGCTCTTCTGTTTTCTCTCGACTTTCTTCACCCCCATCTCCTTTTTGTCAACCATCTCCCCGCCCCTTGACAACAACACTGTCTCTAACGTGAATGGATGCACAGTGTCCGACATTCGAAGCGTAATGACGCGCGTGCACTTAAATATAGTGGCTCCGGAGTCTGGGCTCTGGAGAAGAGAAGAAAGTTTCGGCGACGTGCCTCATAAAAATAAACTGGAGATTCGAGACAGGAGTTTTAAAAGTTGCAGCTGATCAAGTCCTTCTTTTATTATATTTTCAGATTAACACTGCACTCTAAAGTGGATTTAATACTAAGCGATATCTATATGTAATTCTCATCGTATGAGTGTTAATATTAACATCAAGTTAATATTAATACTAATAGTGAGAATTATATAGACATTGCATAGTGTTAAATTCATATTAATCTATATTAATATTTTTTAGAGTGAGTCTACTTGGCTAATGTATAAAAGATACAGTAATCTCGGAAACAATGTAAATTTGTTAATCCAGATTTTTCTTAGCGTAAATACGAGTCTACTTTAATTATAGGTTAACAGTGGTTCTCCGGCAGAAGCTGCCGGTCTTAAAGCTGGCGATGCGGTTATTAGAGTCAATACCACTGACATGTACAATTTGAGGCACAAGGACGCGCAGGATGTCATAGTCAAGGCCGGAAATAATTTCGAAATAACTGTCCAAAGGTAAGACGCTGAGCATAATAAAGCATAACACTTGATAAACGAATGATTCAGTATTTAAAAATACTTCAACGATTTCGGCTTACGTCAAACATTAACGTCTAATCAACATTATTGCGTTAAGCAAAAATATCACGTCATTCATTATTCTAAAATGCTTCATGATTATAAAAGCATCACTAATCATATAAAAAAACGGCTTCAATTAAATTAGTTAAAACTGTAATATTTTGTAAATTATGAAATGCTGTTTAAAAGTCTCCATACATACAGCCATAAAAAAGATTTTTTAGTGCAACACACATCATTTGAAGGCTATTTTAGATTTAATGAAAATACCTACTAAACTACTACTAAACTATTACTAAACTATTTATTTTTCGGTAATTATATCTTAAAATTTTAATGCATAGAATAATGAAAAACTTTGAAAACACTTGATGTAAAAAAACATATTTGCTTTTAAAAAAATTATGCAATGTACAAAAAATATGCAACTATATATCTTCTTTGAGAAAATATATATAATTATGTATCTTCTTTCATCAATTGTTCCTCTTTATTATTTTGTGTATAAAGTATTAAGGTACAGTTAGCAAAAAATGAATTTACTAGATAAAGATACTTTCTGATTATATTCGCAAAATCGCAACTTTCAAATAGGGTTACAGCAAAATCTATCCGTTTCATGATTGTGCCTATAGAGATTTTTAAATTCTATATTCTATAAAATTATTTTATATTCTATAGAATATCTAATTTAATTAAAATCATTTTTTGTATATGATTTTGTATATGATAATACAAAATCCTTTAAGATTCTTATGAAAAATAAAAAAAAAATCAAACTCTATTTACATAAAATCTCGGCTTTCGTAAAAAATTGTTTAATTTTTTGCGAATTCAACACAAATGTACGTTATTTTCGTAATAACGTAATAAAAGTAAGGAATGTTATGCTTTTATTTAAAAAATTGCGACCGATATATAATTCGAAGTCTACTGCCGTGTTTTAACGGGCGATAAATAATCATTACAGAGGCGGCAGTACCTGGAAACCGCATGTGACGCCCGCAACCACAAGTTTACCGTCTCCGATGCACACCGCACCCGCGGGTAACATCACGCCAGTCACAAAGACTTCTTTGGCAGCGAAAAAACAGGACGGACCTCTCATCGGCAGCGGACACAATTTCAGCCCCAAGCCATTCGTTAGTATCGATCGTTAATCTGCGTCTGCCCGTTGCACTGATTCTGCAACAAAAACACGAAAGGAAGTTAGTTATTTTTCTACCCCGGAACGTAATAATTTTCAGCTGAACGGCACCGGCGACGGTCCAATTAAGTCCATCGTGAACAAACAGTACAACAGCCCCGTGGGGATCTACAGCGAGGAAACAATCGCGGAGACATTGTCCGCTCAAGCGGAGGTCCTTGCCGGAGGTGTCCTTGGGTAAAATCGCGAAACTGGATTGAAGAGGGGAATAATTAATGATGGGATTAAAAAATTATTTTTAGATTGAAATTACACGATTAAGATCAAATTTTATAATCATTATCAAAACATATTCTTAGTATTAATTAAATAATACTGAAAGAAGAATCCATGAAGAATGAAATTGTACGATATATTAGAAATCGTCTAATTTCTCAGTTACTCTCTTCAATAAGTGTTATCAATCAGTTAATTTTGCTGGTTAGCTTTATGAGCATAAAAAAGATTTATCAATAAATGTAAATATTGCAGGGTAAATTTCAAAAAGAATGAAAAGAATTACAACGCTGAGAACAGCGAGGTTTTCAAAATGGTCCAAGAAGCGGACAAAGAGCCAAAGACTCCAGAACCTGGTTAGTAACATTCTACGTAATATAATTTCTGAAAAAATTGTACTCATTAATAATATATGTAATTAGTTTTATTATGCAAGTACACATACACAAAAAAGTATACGAGATCGCTAAAGAGCGTATATTACTCAAAATTCAAGTATAATAATATTATATATAATAATATTAGTATAATATTAGTATAATAATATAAGTATAATAATATTATATATAATAATA